GCAACCAGGACAGGGACTAGCACCCGCATGAGATTCTAGTGCATTGTAAGGCGAGGACTTTGGCTGCTAGACTATAGCGCCAGGCTTCAACATTAATATTTCTCCCCCATCCTAAATAAACATTTGAACCATCTTTTAAAGTTTTTTCTATTCCTATGTGTTCTAGTCTGAAGATAATTTTTGAAAATTATTATTATATACAAATGGGTTCTTAAGCTGTGATACATTTCACCTTAGTTCATACAATGAATAATTTTAAATACTTAGCTGAAAATATTGCTATTTTGGTTTTCCAAAATGTTCACTATGCTTTAGTTTTCTCATTTATGAAAGTGGATGAATCTAGGCAGGCTCCTTCTATTTTATGCAATTGGCTTTATATTTCTAGTACAAGAAAAGAAAAAAATACTTCCTGTGCTTCTCAGAAATATGGCTATTCACCGTCACTGTTTCCTGTGCCTGTTCCTCAGGATTTGATGTATTACCCATTGATCACTATCATAAATGTGAGTCTACACTAACCTCACATTTACAACTTAAAGACACTCCCATATCATCACTTACTCAGCAAACATGTATTGTGTATTTGTGTGCACCTGTATGTATTAGAACCTGCTCTCAATTCATTACAAATGTCGCCACTTTTAGTCCTTGTCATCACTGCCTGTATAAACACCTGTCCATCTTTAACAACTGAGGAAGCCGAAGCACACTGTGACCAAGTGATTCAGTCAAGGTCACACAAGTAGTGACGGCTGGAATCAGTATTTGAACTCAGCATGTGATCCTCTGCAGTGTATAATCTTACTATGCTTTTTCAACTAGTCTGGAACTAGTTGCAGCAACATATAGTAGGTCTATTTTCAGATTTCTGGATAATGTACAAACTATCTTCTAAAAGTTAAAAACCTTGTCTGATATTTTGGGAATGTTTTGAAGGAAGGTTACTTGGGGAGATTAATTTGTTCCAAAAGAAAGTAAAGTGTACTTTACAAAACCCATTGTTTTTGTGATAATAGTTAACACTTATTAAGCACTTTCAGTTTAAACAGTATTCCTTATTTTTATATTCCATATGTCTTTTTAACATTTTATGAATATTAATAGAATATGTTTTGTATGTACTTTAGGTAAAGTTCTGAGAAGAAAACCATAATGTCCTCCCTTTTGTTCTCCCTTCCTCAAAACCCTCCTTCCTTTTCTTTTCTAATTTTTGTAAGCAGTTTAATCCCACTGTATAATTGAAGGCTTAATGCACAACTATTTACAGTATTCAAAAAGTAAAATATCACCTAGTGCCTCAAAGAAAAATATATGCTTTCTCTGATCTGAAGTAGTTAATATAGAATCCAAAAAATATGTATAAGGAAAAAGCAGGTATCTTGTGATTTGATTCTTTTTGCTTAGCCCTTGTCTATTTCCCCTTGGCACTGTAGTCTTTATACCTTTGATTCGTTGAACAAGTTAAGTCTTGTAGTTGCTGTCTCATTTAGTGATTTTAGCAGAAGTTTGCAATAGGCAAAATTATTATCTCAGTTTTACAAAGTAAGGCTTTTGGAGACTGAATCACATGACATTTTTGCAGTCATTAAAAGTGATAGGGCCAAAATACAAACCTCTGTTTTAAAATTGTGCACTATACAGGTCTATTAAAAATAAAAAAATATGCAATAACATTTGCCAAAACACATTCTTCTTGATATGTTGTAGTGACGGAATTCTTTTTAATTTTATTTTTGAGCATAGAAAGATCAAGTTTCCTGCATTTCATATATAAAATTAAGTCCATAATTATACTTCGCATCCTTCCATCCTTATTTTTTCTCAAGCCACTTCCTTCTTACCTCCTTTGTTTTGAATTTTGCAACAGTCCACTTCCAATTTCTGTTATAGTCACAAGGTTGATACTCTATTAAAGAAAGAATTTGACAACTAGTAGGTGGGAAACTACTGTTCCTCAGGAGTTGTGTATTGTGGGTGTTTTTTTGAATTTGGCGATTGAGATGGTTATGTATTATGGGGGGGGGTAGGTAATAATTGGTAAGGGGAAAGAGAGGGGGGGGGGATTGGGGGGTTTGGGAAGAGAAGGGATAGAAAGGGTGAAATGTGGGGAGAAGGGGAGTTGAAAGGATGAAAAGAGGAAAGGAATGAGAAAGGAAGGGGGAAGGGTTTGATGGAGTGGTAGGAAATTTGAGGGGGGTAAAGGATAAAGAGGGGGTGTAAAGTTGTGGAGAAGGGAGGAGGTGAGGATGTGGTGAGGAAAGGGGAGAGATAGGGGGGTGGGTTGATGAGGTAAGGTTGTGAGGAAGAGAGGGAGAGGAAGAGAGGGTGTGAAGAAGGGAATGTTTTCATAATAAAAATAAATCTTTAAAAAAAAAACCAACAAGTTACAGAAAACATATTTGTCCTGTGGACAGACTGATTTCAATAAGCACAGTGATCTCCATTTGCATCCATTTCTGCAAGACAGAATTGTGTGTGCGTTTTGGCTGAGTAGTATTCCACCATTTAAGTATAACACAATTTCTTTATCCAATCTTCAGTTGGTGGACATCTGGGTTGATTTTACATCCTATCTATTGTGAATGGAGCCGCTGTAAGCATAAGGGTACAGATAACTCTCTTGTAAGCTGGCATCATTTCTTTTGGGTAAATTCCCAGGACAGGATGGCTGGGACATATGGTAGATCTATTTCTAGATTTCTGGGAAGTAGTCATACTGTCTTCCATAATGTTCATATCAGTTTACTTTCCCAGCAGCAGTGGATTAGGACAGCTTTATATTCACGTTCTCACTAACATTTATTTCCTGCAGTGGTTACACTGATTTAAATTTCAAGTAGCAGCATGTAAGTTTTCCCCTTTCTCCACATCCTCAACAGTATTTGTTACTCTCCATATTTTGGATTTTATCAGTTCTGACAGGGATAGTTTTGACTTGTATTCCCTGATGGTTGGTCATTTTGATGGCTTGTTTTGTTTTCGTTTTTCAGTATATTGGTCGTCCATTGTGTTTCTTCTTTTGAGAAATGTTTATTCAAGTCATTTGCCCACTTCTTAGCTGGATTAGGATACTAATCCTTCATCTAATGTATTCTATAAATATTTCCAGAGTTTGTTGAATGCTTTTCACTCTACTAATAATCTTCTTTATTCTGAAAATGCTTTGGGTTTAATATAGTCATTTGTTCAGGATTTTGTTATTGTTGTTACCTATACTTTGTTAGTATTATTCAAGGAGTACTCCCCTTCCCACAGTCTTAGAGTGTTTCACCTACATTTTCTGTAGACAATTGAAATACTCTGGCATTAAATGTAATACTCCAGCATTAAGTTACATCTTTGAAGCCATTCTGAATTGAGTTTTGTATATGATGAGAGGCATGGATCTAAATTCCATTTTTCTGCATATATACATCCAGTTTTCCCAAAATGTTTTGTTGAAGAGAAATAATCCTTACTCCACAATATAGTCTGAACACTTTTTTTTTAAAAAAAATCAGCTGGCTTTTATGTAAGTGACTTTATTTTGCTCTCTATTCTGTTCCGTTGTCCTGTATATCGGCTGTTATCTCAGATAGACCATACTGTTTTAATTACAGCAGCTCTGTAATATCCTTTGAAATGAAGTATTTTGATACCTCCATCTTGATCTCTCTTGTTCAGGATTGCTTTGGCTATTCTGAGTCTTTTGTGATTCTGTGTGAATTTTATGACTACTTTTTTATGTTTCTATAAAGAATGTAGTTTGTATTTGTGTGGGGTTACATTGAATCTGTGAATTATTTTAGGTATAAGCATTTAAATGTAGTATAGACAATTTGATCTAATATAGACATTTTAATAATATTGGTTCTTCCAACCCTTGAGCAAAGAATATAAATTTTTGTGTCCTCCATTTCTTCAATCATAGTTGATGTTTTATTATAGAGATCTTTAATTTCTTTAGTTAAATTTATTTCTATTTTTTGTGTGTGGTTGATGTGAATAGGATTTTTTCTAGGTTTTTCTTTCTGTGAGTCAATTTTTATTTTGCAATCTTCAACTCTAGTAAGTTGTTTTATCAATTTTAGCAGCTTTTATTCTTAAGGCTTTTTCTTGTGCAGCATGATGTCATCTAAAAAAATGGGCAGTTGACTTTCTCTTTTCCAGTTTTGACGTCCCATATTTCTTTCCTCTTCATAATCTCTTTAATTAAATATTTCATTAATGTATCAAATAATAGTGCCAAAAGTGGACTTGTTTGTCTTATTCCACACTTCAGAGAAAATGCATTCAGCTTTTCCTCATTCACTGTCAATTTGTGAATCTATAATATTCCAGGAATTGTTCTGATAAGCATTCAAATTCAACACCATCTCTATATCTTATTTAGTTAATGAAAATATACAGAAATCCTGTATCTATTGTATAGGGAAATTGTATTCATGTTTTTTTTAAAACAGGTAGATAGGAACTGGCCTTGTGGCACAGCATGTTAAACAGATACTTGCAAGAGCAGCATCCAATAGCTGAATGCCAGACCTAATCCCCACTGCTCCACTTCCAATCTAGCATCCTGCCAATGTGCCTGGGAATGCAGAGGATAATGCCCTGGGCACTTGGACCTCTGTCTTTCACACAGGGGACCCAGATGGAAATCTGGAGTTCTGACTCACGGCTTCCCCAGTCCCAGCTGCTTTGGCAGTGAACCAGCAGAGGAAGCAAATTTTGCTATTTCTTTTTGTCTCTCTCTCTGTCATTTTACTTTTCAAGAATTAAATAAATATTAAAAAAATTGTGGATAGAGTTACAGATTACATAACTGAGAAAATCTACCCCGAGATAGAAAATATAGACTCAGAACCCTGTGCCCACCTGTGAGGTGGGTGCCGAGTTTGTTAGACGCTGGAGGATCCAGTGGGGCTCGGGCTGCTGGATTCATGAGCGCTTTGGGCTTACCTGTGAGGTAGATGCTGGGTTTGCGAGCCCCTGAGCTGTAGGATCTGGTAGGGCTCTAGTAACCTGTCCCAGGTCCTGTGCCCACCTGTAAGGTGGGTGCTGGTTTTGTGAGAACTCGGGGTGGGGGATCCAGTGGGGCTCACATTGCCTGTCTTGGATCCTTGAGCTTGCCTGCAAGAATATGTTCTCCTCAGTGAAAAAGAGCAGTAGACACAGACTCTAATGCACATGGAGAATATAGCATCCCATTTCATGCCATAGCAGAAGAAAGAGAACAGAAGAAATTGGACAACTACCCCATCCAATTGATAACAGCAAAAATCTGTGTTAATGGAGACTTGAGGTTGATTACATCAGCCAATGGGCATTGGGAAGGTTGCCTTACCCTTGGATCAGCGTCATTGACGGCATTTCAGAACTATGCAAACCACTTGGGCAGAACCGTCAGAATATACAGTGCATTGGGACCCTGGATTGATATCAGGTGGTGGTTCCCCATCCATGGGTACTAGGACATTTGGGAGGCTGGGCATGGCTTCCCCCTTTATCTCCGCCCTTCCACCAGAAACAAGAGGAAGAAATAGCAAATGTGGAAACAATTACTTCACCCACTGTTCTCTAACCCTCAATCCTTCCCACCCTGAGCAACCATGTAATCATCATTAAAAATGAAAATTAAAAAAAAAGAAATTACAGAAAGTAGGGGTCAATGGGGAACTTAATAAGTTCATATTAGAAGATGCTGTTTTGCATATGTGAGATTTACAATATGGTAAGTTCAGTTTGTACCAATAAGTATAAATGCCTGTGAGAAATTAGGTAGAGATTTCCATGAGTTAGTAGATTAACTACAGAAGCAAGTTTTCAATGAGAGGGAAGGCAATGTACTAGGCAGAGTACAGAATACCAAAACTACCTTCCAGAACAGAGAACTGGGCAAGTACCCCATATCCCCTAGAAATTCTTGGCATTCTCAGTGTGTCTTCACAGTGCTGATGGTGACTTCCTCAGATACCCACATTCTGCAGCCTCCACCTTCTTCAGACTCCATTCTCTGTGACTATTACCCTGATCTACTATTACCTTAATTCTCACTGCTCCGTTCGGCTGAGTTTCATATTTATGGGCTGTATTGTATTTCTATGTAGACACCCCCTATCCCATTTCCAATGCTTTGGTGTGGGTACCTGCCTGTCCCCAGAAAGCTATCTGTAATCAGCGAGCTTTTATTGCCCCATCCTGCCGTTTGCCAAGGAAGCTTTGCTGATAGAAGTCAGAGTTAGATTTTGTTAATAGGATTCCGCTTAAATTTGGGTTTATGATTATTCTAACACTAGTCATCTTGCTTTTACTATAGTCCTCACTTTCTCTTCTGTCTTCCACTACAGCAACTGTTACTTGAATTAATGGACCTTTCTTGTTTATCTTGTTTTGTAATCTCAGTCGCTGGTATCCAGCACTATGGGAATTCACATGTGTTTATTGAATAAAAGGAAAGTGAATTGAATTTTATTTTTGGATTGTAGTAATTTTGAAAGAATAGAATTGGATTTACGTGAAGCTTACAGGTAAAAATGAAAGAAATCACAGTTGTTGACAACAGGATAGCTTCACATTGATTTGGCCTCTTATCATCATTTATTATATTGAGATTCTGTATTAGAGTCTTGTGTAAATATTTCATTTTTAAAACCTTGAAGGAGTATATTAACTTTTATCCATTTCCTCTTCGGTATGCTCTGAAGAAATCTATCCATTAATATAGGGTGAAGAAATGTATGTAGAAAAGTCAAACCTTTTCTTTGCTTCTTGATATAATTATTTAATTGTACAGAACTGTTTCCTTCTGTATACTACCTTGAATCAATTTGACTTTCAGTCATCATCGAGTTTTTCCCATTTGTTGGTAGATTCTTATCAGAAAGACTAAGTAGTGTTGATTATATTGTTTTTCCTACGGTCTTATCAGTGGACGTTATAAAGAAAGCAAGTGTCAATTAATCTTTCTCACTTATGTTAACATTCATCAGCAAAATTCATAAAATGGCTAAACCACTCTTTCTCTAATGTAGAAAAACCTCAAATTAATCCTTGGGCTACTTAAATCATATTTTAAATGGAATCTTCTTTTCATTAAAAAAATTGATTGAAAAGCAGAGACAGAAAGAGAGAGAATCTTATCTGGTGCCCAGAGTAGTTGGGATTGTATTAGACTAAAACTAGGATTCTGGAGCTCAGTTCCAGTCTCTCATGTACCTGGCCATGACTTAAGTGCTTGAGGCAGCACCTGCTACTCCCTCAGGGTACGCAATAGCAGGAAGCTAGACTCAGGAGCAGAGCTGGAATCAGTGCTTGAATCCAGGAACCAGTGAAGATGTCCCAAGGTGTGTCTTAACTACCGCACCAAATGCTTTCCCCTTTCTTCCTTTACCACAGATGTTTTCAAGACCCTTCATATGTGTGTTTATCAAAAATGTGCACAATAAGTCATGTTTTATGTCACTCACCATAAACTCTTAGAAAGTCATTTATTTGAAAGAAAACAAGAGAGGTCACAGGGACTGAAAAGATCTCTCATCTGCTGGTTCTCTCCCCACCTTCCTACACTGGCCTAGCAGCAAAATGTAGGATCCAGGTACTCAAGCCATGGATGGCAGGGATTCTTCCACCAAAGCATCACTGCTTCCCAGGCTGGACCTTGGCCTGAAACTATAATCAGTAGCTCATGCCAAACCCAGGTAGTCCTCAGATGGTGCATGTGTCTTCATAAGTATCTTGATTGCTAGAAAAGTATTTGTCCATCAGGAGTTAAAAATAAGGTAAGCTTGACTATTATGCTGGTAGCAGCAACAAGCAACCTTATAAAGCAAGCTGCAACAACTTGTTATATAAAAAAAGGATCCCCACCCCCGCAAAAAAAAAAAAAAAAAGCCTCACTATTGAGGCTGCCATAACGGGCTTACCACTTCTTAGATAAACTTAATTATAAAATCTTTCTAAAGGACTATAAAACTGGAAACAACAAAAATATTTTATTTAAAAATATTAGCCGCAACCTCTCATTATGATCAAAGTAACCTTATAATTTGATAAGGGCATTTGAAGTGTTTAAGCAAATGACAACTGTGTGTTCCTGATTAATATGTTCCATGATAAACTGTGCTTCCCCCCCCCCAAGACTTAGTGCTTAAAATAAAGTTACCATTTATTTGCTGCTTACTACTCCTTAAAGGAATAGTACAACCTTAGAACACATCCCCCAGCTGTGGTTACACAGGGGAAAGCTTCTCAGATATGATTGCTGTCAAAATACTTAAAAATGAAAGTGCATAGAATGTGTCTCCATGACCTTAATCCATTTGGTGACTAAATTAAATATAGTAGCCATAAACTGTTTTCAGGAAAATCAACCTAGGTTCCTATCACCAATTCTTTTTTGGCACAGGGAGGCTGCCTATTTTATGCCCTGGGCTGGGTCTCCACAGAATTTGTATGTACCCTCTGGTATATGTGCTATATCTAACCTACCTGTGCCAAAAATCTGATTCAAGTTTGTAACTGAATAGTACTTTTAAATAATATGTTGGGGAACCCTGGTGTCTCTGTAGTTTGGCTTGGCTCACATTAGATAGATAGATAGATAGATAGATAGATAGATAGATAGATAGATAAATAGATGATAGATAATTAGGAGTATCCTATGTGTTTAGTAGTTACTCTCAGATGAGAGCCACATTTAAAAGACCACTTTATGAGAGATTTCTCTCCTTGTTGAGCTTGGATTAGAGATCATAAGTTCATATGCTTTATAAGCTAATTAGTTAGAAGAGAGGAAATAAGTATACTCTTTTTTTAAAAGATTTATTTATTTTTATTGCAAAGTCAGATATTCAGAGAGGAAAAAGGACAGAGGAAGATCTTCCATCCTATGATTCACTCCCCCAGTGACCGCAGTGGCTGGAGCTGAGCAAATCCAAAGCCAGGAGCCAGGAGCTTCTTCTAGGTCTCCTACACGGGTGCAGAGTCCCAAGGCTTTGGGCCGTCCTTGACTGCTTTCCTAGGCCACAGGCAGGGAGCTGGATGGGAAGTGGGGCCACCAGAATTAGAATGTCCATATGGGATCCTGGTGTGTGCAAGATAAGGACTTTATCCACTAGGCCACCACACATGGCCCAATATATATATTCTTAACACAGTAATATGTACACATCCTAAGCTGAGAGTATTTAGAAGGGATCGCCTTAAATTTTTATTTTTATTTTTTTTTTTACTTTCTTTTTTTTTTTATTTAATTTTGACAATCCTTACAAATTTAATTGGGGTAAAAAAGGTTCAAGGTCTAAAGGGGTATATAGAGGAAGAAGCCCCACCCAGTCTCCCGCCCACCCCAAGTCCCGGATGTGGGGCGCGCTCCGAGATACTCGATCAAGTGGTTCCAATAGTTCACCATTCATGGGCTGTTGCCAGTCTCGCCACCCCAATCATGATGTGGTCATTGAAGAGTTCATTGATTGACACAGTCCCTTCTAGGGTCTCCATTTGCCCAGTCTCTGCTGCCAACAGATGGCTGAGGTTGTTGCTTGATTTGTCCTGTCTTTCCCTGGTTAGGACTCCGAGTCCGGTGTCTCGAATGGAAGGATCCTCGAAGAAATTTTGAGGTATTCCCAGTCCTGATTCCTGCTGTTTTAGTAGCATAGGGCCCGGCACAGTCCACTGCCCCGGTCAGCTGGCGGCTGCAGTTGCTGGGCCGGTTCTGTCTCCACCCGTGTCCTCTTGCAGTCCCGCCTGGTTCCACCCTGGACGCATTTGTCCCTCGCACGTACTAGTAGGAGTTGCAGCCCAGTCAGGGCGGCCCACAGTAGCCTCCACCAGGCCCACCTCCTACCCTGGCTTGCCAGTATATATGGCATACTAGCTCAGTCTGTCCCCAGTACCCTTCTGTTCATATTCTTGCCAACAGGTGTTGCCACCTACTTCCATCCAACTATCTCCTCCGACCGTCCCTAACGGATATTGTTGGGTGTCTGTCTAGCTACCCCAGCCCCTGTCCTAGTTCCCATGCCCTCCCGTGG